GGTTAAAATAAAGAACTCCCATTTTTTACGAGAAGAAAGTCTTTGAGTCATTTGATAGTCTTTAAAGTATAAACATCAAAATTGCACCAAAACATGCGCTTCCATCAGGATGATAATAATGCTAAAAGAAAACTTAGCATCATTTTTTACATGAGCCATTTGAGTTAACACTGACTATTTAAAAGTTATTGAATTATGGGACAATATTCAAGATTTATTAGTGTGTCCATGTTAGGATACGGAATAGACAATAGGAACTGGTTGCCTAAGTAACAAATGTGGGTTACGCAAGCATTGCTATTCATTCCCTTTTTATTTATTAACAATAATTATTTGCAAAATGTTTATGACTTTTGAAATAGAAGCGTCTCTTTGCAATCTTCTGCAGCTACGTAATTTTATTCTCCAAGTAGTTTATCCTATATCACAGATCCTTATTGTCTAGTTTTATTTTGCCGTATATGTCAATCGTTTATCGAAATCTTACTGTATTTTCTGAGGTTCAACAAGCTTGATAACATCTGAAACAGTATCTTCTTTCGGTCGGGAGATTGGGATCTTGGTTTGATTATCTGCTCAGGTTTATCTGATTTTCTGCCCTCTGATAATGCTCCAGGAACATCAACTGAGATAGCAGAAATTTTTTAGCTGTTTGTTAATGTCTGTAAATTTCCTGTCTACCTGATGAAGAATAAGAAAACTGGCAAACAAGCAATATTCCATATCACTTTGCTTCCAATTGATGCTCTTGTCAACATTGCTGCGACAGCAGGCTGCATTATTCGAATCTTTTCTTACTGAGAGTTTTTCACCCATGCAGTAAAGCTATCTAACTCTGTCTAACATGTAGAAAATAGATTTTAATTCATGGCTTTAGATATGCATAAACTATAATGTTTTCAGGCTCTTAGAATGAAGAATAAGCATATATTGCATTCTCAGCTCACTAAAGGCCAGAGTTTTTGGTTGTTATGTAGTTTGGAGGGAAGGAAAGAAATATCTTGGAGGGAGGGAAGGAAAGAAAGAAATCGTATAGTTGGAAGGAAAAAAGGAATCTCTCGTGGGGCTGATAATCAGCATCCGCAAAGTGCGCTCAACAGCCTGAATAGAATCCTGAGTTCGATCTTTACTCTTTTTGAGAACTGCCTTGTTGCTATCAAAAAATGAAAGCTTTTATTTGTTGTGCAGTAGCTACTTGTTGTACCGTACTTGCTAAATTCTGTTATAATTTTGTAAAAGGTGTTCCTCTTATAGATTTATTTCCTGTTCTGTCGATGTGCGTTTATAGAAAGGAAACCACGTAGAGTGTTTGTGACACGCTCTAATATTTTCATGTCTTTGCATCGCAGGCAGAAATTCTGACATTGCTTCCTGTTTTTCACAACCAGGTTCCTAATTGAAGATGCAATGATCCAGAAATTAGATCCCGTGTAATAAAATGAAATTTGTTTCGGTTCCACTCATAAGCCAAACTTCTAAAAAATGTCCATCGAATTTACCGTTGAATGGATTTTGATTTCGACAAACCACTAATTATTTTAAATCGTCTCTATTTATTTCAAAACAGCCTAACCTGTGTGAAAAATACAGCAACTGGCGTGTGGCTTGCCCTTCGTATTTTTTATCGTCTCCAAGGTTTTTCTCTGTCGCCCGTTTCAGGTTAACCAAGTCACTAATGCTTTGCCAGGTTTATTTGTTAAGGTTTTCATTCTCTCTGAAGGTAAGGGTTATAAAGGGACTGAGGAATCCGCCATTCTGTGCATTTTTAGTCATTTTAGCCAAAATTCCACCTCCTATTATTGCTAGTAAATGTTCCTGACCATGAAAAACCAAGTTTTGACCAGATCTGTTTTTACAAAACAACAGGTAAAGAAGTCCGCAAATCCGTAAAACTTAATTAACAATTCCGTATTCTGTAAATCATTTTAGAGAAAATCAGCGTCCTACAAGTGTGGATAATTTCGTCGTTCTGTCTAGAAGTTCCCAGATTTCTGTAACCGGAAATAAAATTTCGCGATGAGCGACTTTCGTTATAACCTGATTTGGTACTGGCCGATTCGATATGTTTTTTTGGCTGTTACGATTATTAGAAGGCTGTGGCTAGTTAACGTTCTGAGAGATGAGACGATGAGTCAATATGCTAAAAGAGTTCAGAGAAAGGAATCATCTACTTTGATTCTGGGTTGGTTGTTTATCAGCCAGGATAGCAATTTCGATTTTTGTTATGGATACTTGCCGGCTGGGCTGTTCTTTTACTTTTAAACAGAAGATGTTTTTTCCAAAAGTGGGCGTGAATGGGCGTGGTACCTCGCTTTTCTATTACGTTTTCTGAATGCTGCTGAAGTTGCATAGTCATGGTCAGGATCTATTGCTGGCTGCTAGGCTAAGCCGCTGCACCGGGCCGGCTTGACCATAAATAAAGCTGGAAAAGAGATGCATCAATATTCAATTTTTTATTTGATTTTCGTTCGTTTTTATTTGGTCGAATCGCGTTTGCAGGCCACACGTAATTAGAGCTGCCACTAATTGGCAGTCTAGCCTTGGTAGTGGGAGGGTAAGTGGTTTTGGTTTGTCATCTACAAAATGGCTTGGTCTTTGATAACCGAAAGCCGATAATATTGTTTGGGTGGTCCTATTTTCAGTCTTTTCTTTATTGCCAGTAGTTCAAAACCGTAATTTCATTAGCCATGAAACAGTTTTTGTAAAGTATCTTCCCTTCGCTAATGTTTTTTTAGAGTAAACAAGACCTGCCGGTGCGGTGCCTCAAGAAGGGTAACTGATCGTCTAGAAAAAGAGGTGAAAAGGGGTAGAGATGCTGCCGAAATGTTTTTTGAATCTCGAAGGCTGGGGCAATATGTTCCACCCAGTGTCTCTAATTCGTGCTAGACCTACTTCAGTTTGCTTGAAAATTGAAACTGATCATTGCTTGGATCTTTCAAATGGTTTTTCTTTGTGTCGTTACTGTGTTTTGGAGAATGCGTGTTTTCACTGGTTTATGATGTTCATTACCACCAGGCTGCAGGCTTTTCGTGGTAAGCAACGTTCAGCATAGTTTCTTGAATAGTTTCCTCCTCATTGCCAATGACTGGTAGTGAAAGACAATCCAGGATTATATGCCAACAAATTTCCTTTCACCGGCTTTTTATCTGAGCAGCAGAATCTGTTTGCCTAGCCTAGTAATCTATCTATTTCTAGATTATGTTAAGCTTCTCGTCATATCTGTTTGCCAGACCAGTGTTGTGTTTCTATACTGATGTGCATTAATTTCAGTAAGGCTCGTAAAGCCATGCATGCAGAATGCAGTGTATGATGCGGTAGCCCACCAGCTTTGTCCTAACCATCTCTGCCTACGTTTGCCATTTTCTTGTTATCTTTTCGGATCTTTAAGGTTTTTCTTCTATCTGGCTTTAAATCACCCCCTCCGTTTCGCTCCGCATCGTAATGAGCAAAACGTCACTTACGATTTTCGCCTATTTGTGTCGACAGCTTCAATGCTGTTGGTGTGCTTTAATTAATCCTTCAAATTTATAAGCGTGATTTAGTTGTTTTGAGCGCTGAGCAGCTTGCCTACGCAGCCTACATCAAAGTTCCGCGTCTTTTTCAACGACGGGATGGAGAGCAAAAACAGGTGATAGAGGTGGTGAGAGCTGCCGTGTTGCTATCATGACAATCGCTAGATCGAGCCTTCTTAAACCCGCTTAATAATTAAAACGATACGGCACCGTAGGAGGTCGAAGATTCGCGATCGCAAGTTGCAGTTCGCTTGAAATATCGTCATGTTTATTGTGTTAACTTTACCTTTGATTTTTTGCCGGTAGCGGAGACGTTAATCCAAATGGGTCCATTAGCGCGTTTGATTTGCATCTCCATAGCAGCAGTTTTCATTGGACAAAATATCAGTTACTTTCAGTTGATTCCACGAGATTGTGGTCGCGAAAATTCTTATTTTCTTAAGCTGCACATTATGCTATTTCGTCGTCGATCTCAAATCGATTAAACGGGCGAAGTGCAGCGTCTTTGTTCCAATTTTCTTTCGCTGACATTTTCTTGACTCCTGTCTACCACCAGGCTCTTACAATCACTTTTTGTAAACACTCATAAATCCTTATGACCTGACCTACCCTTTCCTCCTGGGATTTTCATTGACCTTAAAGTGATTTGCAGGCAAAGGATCATTTGTTACGGCGTTGGCGCCAAATACAAATACAGTTCGAAAATAGCTGAAATTCTACGTTCTGTTTGTTGTTCAGAATAAGGTTGTACCCCTAAATTTTTGCACGAGACAACTCCTTGAATCGCCAGGATATTTCATTTGTTCATGTTCACATTTATCAGATTATAATAAGCTTCATTTCTTAGGTATCCACAATCAAAGTGAAGGTGAATTTTAAGAGTTTGTGATAGATGTTTAGAAATATTAAGTAATCCCTTTAAGCTATGAAGGATGGAAAGAGATGACGAAGAAGAACCTATAAAACCCGAAGCGATAATTTGTTTTCGTATTGCAAAAGTGTTTTAATGCTACCTAGAGAGTTATTGAATAATATAATCGTTTGTAAAAGTTCGGCGAGTATTGTGTATCTGAATAAGAAGCATTATTTTTTGTAGCCCAGCTAACACCGAATCCGATTAAATATTTGAGGCCAGCCTCTCATGTGTCTTGTTTTGGCTATGCTGACCAACTTGGCGCATGGATTTCTAAATATTGTATTTAAAGTTGAACAGATCTTCTTATTGGAAACCAGCCTGTACACGCCATATTCTTTCTGCAAATCATCTTAGCCAAGCCTTTAGAAGGCCAAATTAAAGTTCAGAGTCAAACATGAAGATTTATCCGTATTGTGATTGCATGATTTTTTCGCTTGCTGCTTTCCATTCAGCTTAATTAAAGGCCAGATTGTAATCAAGATTAATACATTTGTTGGAAAGTGCCACCAAGGTTTGAAGTCAATGCCCCCAAAATTTCAAGTGTTCCTGAATTCGAATGTCTTGTTTTGCAGATCCAACAGCTTCTCGTATAACGAGAATGGCATGTACTCCCAATCAGCAAGTATGCCATCATACATAGACGCAGGTAGTCACCACGTAGCATCTCAGAATGCAGCAATATACCAGACATACCAAGGCCAGGGTGGACAGCAGCTAACCTCCCCTGGACAGGGAGTAGGGGTCAATCCTCAGGCAATTGGTGTTGCCCAACAAGCATACCTCACACCAGGACAGGCTGCGCACCAGCGGGTACCGATTTCACATACGACAAGGGCATCGCCTGCTACGGTATGACATCATTTTTACCCCGAGTTTGTCCAACGATGTGCGTTTTTTACTTTTAGTGCCTCTGTACAGATTGTCTGAAGGAAATCATGTCATTTTTCTAGAAGTTTTTTTTCATCCACGCAAAGAATACTTGTTTTTGTCATTATAACCAGTATCTGTATGCTCGTATTCTGCGAATAAACTGAATAGAATGTCATATGCCAAAACTTAACGTTCAGAGTATATGTCTACAGCTCTGTTTTAGATATAACTTTGAAGTTCTTCGTTTTGTAGGTCCAGTGGCTTTTAGAAAACTATGAAACTGCAGAAGGTGTCAGTCTTCCAAGAAGCACTCTGTACAATCACTATTTACGGCACTGCGCAGAAAACAAAATTGAACCGGTTAATGCAGCTAGTTTTGGAAAGCTGATCAGATCTGTTTTTCTTGGTTTAAAGACAAGAAGACTCGGCACAAGGTACGACAAGGCTCGGCTCTTACTCCTTTTTTAATCCAAAGGTTGTTGTTTTCCATTATTGCAAAATTATTGAAATGATCATTGAGATATTATCAACTGATAAAGATTTAATTTTTGCTACCCGATATTAAGTTTATTAGTTAGTATTTTGCTATTTTGCTTCGATAAACCCTTACCAAATTTATGTTTTTATTTAAATCAAACCTCATTATAATTCTATCCATTTCTAATGTTCAGCTACTTTATTCTTCGACTGCTCAATTCTTTATCCTAGAGGGAACTCAAAATATCATTATTATGGTATACGAGTCAAACCGAACTCTCCGCTTGCAAGACTGACCGATGACACTCAAGTGGCAATGCGGCAGCAACCTAATCCCCAGAAAAGGTAAACAGTTTATTATTGTTCTAAGAACACTCCCAACAGATTGTTTCATCACTTCTACATTTTCAGAATTTATTATCTTCATAAGGATGAAAGTGCAAATTGGTAATCAAATTTTTTGTTTTGCAGCCGGTTCAAAATAGCCAGTAGGTACGATGACGATCAGAGCTCGGATGGACAGTCCGGTGTACAAACACCGGGCTCGGAACGTGGTGGTGCGGTATCACAGCAGATGCAACAACATCAGCAATACCTTGGTGACATTGCAGCAGGACTTCCTGAACTTCCTGACGTTGAAATTGATGAGTCCGCTGGTAATTTAGAATCAATTCTTGTTCGTCTTTCTTTCCACTTAGTTTGAAGACAACGCCATAAAGTCTTTTTCCCAGCCCTTTTGTTGCCTTTTTTCTGGCCGACCAGAATTATTTTATTTGAATTTTTTTCGTTACAAATATTACTTTGTATACCAATTTCTGAAAGGCATTTTTTTTATAATAACAAATCAAATTTCAATTGAAACGCTGTCTTAGTATGCTTATATTTACAACGACCATCCGTCAATATAGTTTACAAAACATTTACCTTTTGAATGTTCTGTAAATTCTTCATCATATATCTCACTTTATTTAAGTAGCAATATTATTGTCTTGTGTAACTGTTTAATAAGCAACCTAAAGCATGCGGCTTCGACCTTTTAAAGTTACTTGACTGAATCCTCATACTAGTAAGAAAGTTAGCTCGACACTATAACTAGTAGTTTCATTATTTTTAATTTGTAGGCAGCCCGGATCTCAAATACAAACTAGACCACAATCTATCTGATGACGACATCAGTGATTTTGCAATGTTGTATAGAGATCATTGTGAGGTAAATTATTCGACCGGTTGAATTAACCACTGTATATTTTTCGGTTCAATCGATTCTCCTTATTCACGTTTTTCTTGAAAGCACAGTAATTTCAGTCGTTTGGTTAAACCCCTTCTTTCATTGAAACCTCTTGCGAAATTAATGTTATTACCATACTGAATGAAGTCAATCAACGCATGTTGTCTAATCATTTTGTTTATTTGACATCGTAAAGTCTGCACAGACTGTTTTTATACACAGACCGTTCTGTCAATCAATACAGTTCCATCAACACGAGAATACGTCCTCGGTTTTTGCCTATGTCTAACTGCTAGCAGCAATTCTCGTTTTCATGCAAATCCCGTTTTACAGCTTAATTATTCTGACATTGTTTTATTTTTCACCGTCAGATTATTATTATTATCGCTTTCAAATCCGAGAGAGGTTGTTGAATAATCTTTTTAGATGTAGTAAAGATAACCTCGTTCAAGTATTTCAATTTTGCCTACTGTAAAATTGCAGTTGAAATCCTACTATTCTTCCTTTTTTCATTTCCAATTTCTTCGGTAGCAGTTACTTCATATTAATTTTTACAGGCTCTTTTGCAAGTAATCGTTAGCTTGCAGTTTCCTTTGGTTGAAACAATATGGCAGACGTTCTGGAAAAGCCCGGCTGCAGATGCCAGTAAAGGGTAAATATTTTTTTAAGATTGAGAATTCCATATTACTGTCATATAATTTCCTTGAAGAATATGGTGTTCCTGATGTGCGAATTGTTCGTTTTGCTGCAAAGATAATTAAATTCATCTGCAAGAAGATTTTCAGAGCACCTTCGCTTGTGATAGACAGTCAAATCCTAATTTCGCTCAAATTCAAATTTACAGCTTTTCGATCAAATAGAACCATAAAATTTAATGGTGAAGAGAAAAACAATTATTTATTATATTTAGAAGGCGTTGGCTTTTGCACTTAATATTCTTTTTTTCACAGTTTTGCAAAGCTGAAAAAATCTTTTCTTTGACAGCAGAGACTAATCTGGTGCCTTCTGTGTTTCTTCTTATCAAGTGTAATTTTTAAGAAAAGGATTTTTTAACTGAGCATAACGAATGCATTTTGTGATCTTCGTTGCTCTTTCCAAACTATTGTCCCCCTTTTCAATTTTTAGTTTCAATATTTAGCCATATCTTCCATACACAGAGAATCCGGGTATGAAGTTGTAACGGACAGACTTTCAAAGGACATATTAATTGCTCTGACAAATTACAAACCTGTGCAAGAATTCATCAAGGAGAGCGACTACATTTTGTACCAAAGACTGGTAGAAATTTTGGTCCCTGATGTGTTGAGAGCTGTCCCAAGTATGAAATCTCGTTTTTCAAATTCAAAACATTATTCACAATTTCAGATAACATATTTGACTGTAAAACAACTCGGTATGATAATCCGAATTTTTTTCTAGCATAGTTTTTGCGTTGCTGTACTTGACGTCTCTAATTTATTATACTTATATTCTGTCTTCTTTTTATGCATCTTCTTCTCTTCTACTTTTTTCTCTTTCCCCTTTCTTATTCTTTCTCATTTCACTCCGCTTTTCTCTACCTGCCTCATCATATACAGTTGAGTCTCCAGCTTCAAAGTGAAGCTTTATGTATCCACCCTTCATAAAAGGGAGTGACTTTAAGAACCAAATGTAAACCAATTAATATTTTTATTGCAGGTGGGCTCACGCAAATGATTCGCAATTTCGCAAAAAGCTTGGAGAATTGGCTTATCAATAGCATGAGTGAAATGCCATCAGAAATCGTCAATATAAAGGTAAGGTTTTTTCATTAATGCAGACAAATGCAAAATGTTTATTTCAATTTATGAAGCTCGTATTTGTGACAAATTTCATGAAAGCTTTGAGAATACACAGCAATAGGCATCAGGTTTGGTTTGTGTTGCCCTGCATATATATTTTCTTATTGTTCACTCATTGTGGTCAAATCAAAATTTTAGAAAATATTGCCCAGTATTCTCCTTTAATGGATAAAATGCGTCACGCCCCTTATTTTTTCCTAAGGTTGCTGCTGTTAGTGCCTTCTCACAGACGCTGCGTAGGTACACGTCATTGAATCACCTTGCGCAGGCTGCCAGGGCTGTTCTGCAAAACCCAAGTCAAATCAATCAAATGTGGACAGACCTCAACAAGGTTGATTTTACTAACGTCCAGGTAAAAAAATCCGCTGGTATATTTTTAAATTAGATAAACAACGAGTAGATTGGTTTTTTTATTTACCTGACGGTAATTAATCAAAACGTTTTGTTTCAGTATATATCATCATATATATCCCGCAAAGTGCTTATCACACTTTGCTATGATAGCGAAATCCATAATTGGTCCACTTTGATGCAGTTCTTCTAACTACGCAAAACGTGCTAAAAATGCATTTTTCTCTTCGAATAAAGGAACAAGCATCTTGGGTGTGCCAATGTGATGAATCCCTTGTACAAAAACTTGAAGAAGACTTCAAGAAGACCCTAGCCGAGCAGGTAAAGCATTGCTTTTTGCTTCCCTATTCGTTGCAGAGGGTCGTTAAAACCGTTTATTGCTGCTTATATTTCGAGTCTTTTTTTTATCTAAGAGAAAACGAGTAGATGTATGAAATTTTCAAGACTTTTCCTGCAAGAAGCAAAAGTTTTGGCTTGGATTTTTTCAAGCTGGTTGTTCAAAGCTAGGGCTAACAATGTTACTTACAGAAGTATATGCAATATGCAAATGCCATAGCTAGCGTTCTGTCTACCCAATAAATTTTCACCGTTGCAACTTGAGCCAACGGAAAGATAAGGTATTTCTGTAATGTGTGATGAGATTTGTGTTTCTTCCTAGAGTTATTGTATTTTCATTTCAGCAAAGCACTATTATCATCTTGACATTTTCAAACTCATTCAGTAAAATTTCATAACCTTGTGACAACATCATATCCGTAGTATAAATTTTGTGTAACAGTCTCTTGAAAGCTGTAACTCTATCATTTTCTTTTAGCATTCTTTAGAGCAATGGGCTGAGTGGCTAGATGGAGTTGTGGAACAGGTTCTGCAGAATCACCAGGGTACAGAAAATTTCCCAAAAGCTGCTCGGCAGTTTCTACTGAAGTGGTCTTTTTACAGCTCAATGATAATCAGAGATTTGACCCTGCGAAGTGCAGCGAGTTTTGGATCCTTTCATCTGATCCGCTTGCTTTATGATGAGTATATGTTCTATCTAGTCGAGCACAAAGTTGCTGATGCAACCGGAAAGTCCCCGCTAGCTGTCATGGCGGAGGTAAGAAACTTATTTTCAAATGACACTTTTTTGTCCGATTTCATGCAGTGATTTTCCGAATGCATTTTCTTCCTCATAAATCTTCCAGTTTTCTTTTTTCTTCCTAGTGTTTTTGTGCCTAAAACTTTCCTGTTTTTGTAGCCAAAGCCAATTGACTTATATTGTTTTTAGTTCGTTGGTTTTGGTCATTTTCTTGGCATCGACTCAATAGGCGGCAGTGGCATTGATAGTGATATGCAAGAAGGTAATATTAAGCTTTTTTAATAACACGTTATTGCTATTTTTGAGAAAGTGTTAATCAGAGAGCCTGGTCAGGTCAAGTACATGGCTTAATATTCTAGCAATTTTTTGACTTTGTAAATAGGTTTAAGTCTTGTTACTGTGTAGATGTCCCAACCAAAAAGCAGACACCAAACAATATGACTGGATATTGACCTTCATTATGGTTTATTTTACAGACCTTTAGCACATTATAGACCACAATCCCTTTTTGAGCCAGGCATTGCTTACAGAGCCAGTGTCACATATGAGCTCACTTGTAACAAAAATAGTTTATCAACATCACTTTATTTTATAGATATTTCTATATTGAAAAATGGGCACAGTAGTGATGTATCGTTAAAGCGAGAGTCTCCTCTTCAACTAGATCCGCCGCTGACTAAACGAAATCGAGACAGCTAAATTCAACGAGCGCCGCTGCACTCACAGATTGACGATGCCATGGCTTCGGACCATTGGTCTTGTAAATAGCAATATGGATTTTACTTGCATTGGTGTCTTTAATATTTCAGACTTTTAGCCCAAGAGAACAATAGAGATGGGGTTGTAAGCAAAGAAACGTTTTGGATTTTATTTGTTATTGTTAAGCATACATATTTATCAGAAATTTGCGTAAAGATATCTTTGCGCTAGTAGCAGCAATGTATACGATGCCGCTCGTTCTCATTTCGCATGCGAGTTGTCTCCGGAAGGCTTCTGCTTACCTTGTATTCTTAACTTCCAATATCACCCCCTTTAATTCCCCTTCCTTCCCATTTCACCTCCTGTTGAGGCTATAATGAATCCTCAAAATCCTAAATTTTATTTACAAGCCTCGTACGTTTCTTTGTAAATATCAGCTGCAGACTCGAGCTCCTTCAATTCTCATCCAAGGTATCTGCATTGCTTGTAATATGTAAATAACTTAAACAGGGAATAGTTTCTATAAAAATATTTAACAATGTTTTTGAATCATATTGTCCCAAAAATGGCAGGCGAATTAACTTGTGATTTTGTCGTTATTAGCTAGTTACTATTTTTGCTTGATAGTGCGGTTATGTTGAACTCGTGTAGCTTTTTTCTGCCATTTATTAAAGTTAATTTATGTCCAGCATTGAGTTGTAATACACAGATTGCAGAGGCTTTTCTTTTGCATGTAGCACCATGATTTTGAAGTTATCTTGTTTTGTCTAAACCGTCCCTTGCAAAGGCCTTTCGCAAAATAGAAAGTTCTTCATACAATTGTGCAAAATATCCTGATTTCTAGGCTTCAAATGTATCTTAATGAAATTTGTTTCCCTTACATTTTTCAAGATCTTCCTGTTACATTACCCTATAGCACCTTCCCTCCGCATCATTTGAATTTTCTAAATAAGTTCATCAAACATGCTATTTCCCCATGTATCGTCTGTTCGAAGCTCATCTTGAAGCACCCCTTCGACGGTGTGCCAGAATTAGAAGCGCTTGATTTTTCTAAATTTTAGAGTGCTTGTATGTTTTAAGCATAGTTTTGGTCTCTGCTAGCTTTTAGTTGCAAACTTTGAAAGTATTAAAGTTTTCAGTTTTGTCGGCAGTGTTTCTTGTTTATTGCGAGTTCTCTTTGGCTCATATCGCAGGTGGTGACGGTAGCTAACGATCTACTCAGAAACCTTTATGATACACTCTTCTCTATAAGAACACACTTTGTAAGAGCAGCGAGGTTTGATTTGCCAAAAATGTAAGAACAGTGTAAAAATATGTCTAGCCTCAGAAGCAAAGTTAAAGAAAAACCGTTTTTTATTTATTTCTTATGTAAAAAAGCAGAAGCAGTTTTATCAGCTGATCATCTGTGCTACGAAAATTGCGATGCGAAATTCTTATTTAGTGGTCTTATGAACAATCGATAGTATGTAGTAGAAAACCATTATCAAAGTACGATCTACATTGGGTACACTCGAATCTTGGATTGTTTAAAAAAGTAAGAACATAGAGCATTTGTTAAAATTGTTAGGATATTTTCAAAAAATGAGTATATCTCCCTTATTTTGAGCAGTTTATTTTAGTGGTTTCTCCTGGCTTAAACTTTACATAAATGCACAATACCTGGCTGAATTTACAAATTCCCAAAGACATAAAAACATGAATTTGAAACCTTAAACTGAAAAACGAGCTGCAAAGTAATTGTTATATTTGCATACTACAGTATAATCCGGTTATAACGTACTTTCAGGTACCGGCAGATTAAGTACGTTTCGATAATAACAATACCATTTCAAGTATTTGCTACCTTGTAGCGGGAGCTTTTACTCAGCTGCTTACTTTAGTTTGCAATTTATTATAGAAAATTTTTAAGAAACCAAATCTTTCCCGATTTAACAACAGTCAATGGCGGAGAATTTTTTCAAAGGAGGACCAGGGGAGCACAAGATGCTACAAAGGGCATAATTCGGTTCTTCTGCTACCATTTGAGGGTTATTGTCAAAAAAGACTACAATTTGAGGGTAATTTTTAGCACTTTTACTTTGGTTCTCTTTGACCCTGACTGGACCCCCCTCCCCGTTAGGCCATAATGGGAGTGCCCCCCCGGGGGGTTGTTACCAGGGTAAGTAACAAGTGACTAAAACCAAGTTGTAAACAATGTAATAAAAAAAGATATTTTCAACTGAATTGTTATAGGCTACATAGTTAGATGAAATCTGAAAAGCATTTCTTAATATCCAAATGTTGACTGCAGCATTCAATTTTGCTCAACATATTCAGTGTTTCGTCGGCGCTAGACAAATTCAAAAACTCCAAAAATCGTTGTGAAACTTGCACTTGAAGCGGTCAAGGAAACAATAAAACAAATCAAACAATCGCAAAGGTTATCGAGGTCTTACTTTCTCCTATGACACATTTTACCTTGACACAAGTGATGCAAGACAATGGATTTTTAACAAAGAAGACACACTATGTACGTTGTATCCGATGGAATTTGTTTAGAAGGGTCATAGAAGAAGTACGCTATGACCGAAAGTACGTTATAAACGATTACGTTACAGACGGGGTTATACAGTACTAGGAACGGCTGCTTTTCAAATGGTCTTCAACAGTTGGATTGAATCGCAACCCAGGCCTCGATTCTACCTAAAACGACATTTGCTGAAACAATCACCTTTGCCGCCTAGAATGTCAAATAGTTCGGCATTGACTTGCAGTATCGTTCTTTGATGATCGACATTTGATCTGTTCATAACTTGTGTTACGTAACTGAAAATTAATGCCACTGGGGTGAACGCAAATAGTAACTAGTCGCTTCCTTCAACCAAATAGATTACATTATTTTACGCAATAATAAACAACCTGATGCCTGAATATACGATGGATCCAATATCACATCTTCAGCAGTCGCTCAACTCTCTTCACGACCAGGACGTCATCGATGAATGGAGACAAAGACTAAAAATTCAAGACTTTACTCAATCCTAGATGCCTAGCTCAAGCTCAACAAATTGAGCTATGAATGGAGATCAGAATTGTTAAAAAATGAATTATCTCTAAACATAAAACTGCAAATCTTCTTATCACTTGAGCTATTATTCAAGTAGACGGTCAGCAAACTTCATTTTGATGGCTTGACTTCCTTTTCGTCCTTTAAGTGCCAAGAACGGCTTGTTGGTGTGTACTTCGCTGCAATAAAATGTGGTATATCAACACCTTGATTTCAACTGTTTTCATTTCATCACTTAAATCGATCAAAACCTTTTATCTCTATGGAGTGACCTACACAAAATCTTGTTGTATAGTGCTACTGTTTTGCCCTGTTTTGTTATTTGCAACGGCCAATTGGTAGCCAAGCCTATCATCCGCGATCATGCTCCCAATGGCATCGTCATTGTAACAATGTACTTGTGAAATGTACTTTTTTAGATTGTGAATAAAACGTTTTATTTACTATTGAAACTAGGCGTTTGAAAATTTGATAGAAAATGAATGAAAAAAAGAAATTTTCTTTAATTTTGAAACATGTAAGGATATTTATTGTAAAGTTTGTGAGAATATTAATAAGGACAGGATATTTTTAAATTTCAGAGGTCAATTACCATCGTTAAAACCTCATTAATTACTTTAATGCATGTACTGTGATTTTATCCAGTGCTATCTCTTCCTCGACATTTTGTGGCTTCAGTGAGGCTTCTGTCTTAAATTGGATTGCAAGTGGTGGTTGTTGTCATTTATTGCATAGTTACCATGAAAACAACATCTTTGCTCTCTCGTTAGCGCCCAGTTGCTGAGAGTTGCTATGTGGAAAAGGGCGATCTGCGAAAAACATGTTGAATTTAGTTTAGGTGTCGGAAGATCGTGTGAAGAAAATAAGCTAATGTCAATTTTCAATAAGATTATATTCTTAACCTCAGATCAAGGCTAAGATTTAAAACGATCAAAGTCGTGGGTGCAGTCGCTAATATTTTATGCGGAATGTGATGGTTGATGGCATGGTAGAAAATGAACAGATCACTGCCATTGGAAATCTTACATGTTATCTTAGATACCAATGTTATGAATCAAACAATCCGGGAATTGGGTGTCCATGCCGGTCTTCCAATTTCCACTGGGGTTACTTTTTATCGATAATATGATCTGAAAAATACATACTTGGAATAGGTGAAGGTGATTACCATAAACAATGATTAAGCGTGAGTTTAGCAAGCCGTCATTGTTAAGCCCTGTACTTTTCTATTGTGAGCCACCAGTTACCAACTACAAGGCTGGCCCACCATTTTGCCTATTGGACTCACAAAGTATCAATTTTGTGCTTGCGCCAAATGGGCCACACAGCTGTAGATAATGACTCGGGGTGGGCAAATTGGAAAGAGAGCCACCCCTTGAGGGTATTTACAAAAGTTCAAAAATCAAAATAATTGCAAATGAAATTTTCATTTTGGCTTGTGTTGGTAAAGTGTTTAATATTTCATTCTATTATGATGGTACAAGCATTGACTTGCCATTATTTTTAAAATTCTTTCCCTTTCCCTCCGTGTCACCCAAAAAAATTTCTTCAACATTAAAAACATATCAAGGATTGATACACAAAGTTTTTGGCACCTTTGGCCACTGAACTCAAAATTCAAGATTTTAGCTGTGAACCGGATCACTTAAACATAAAGCAAGATTTCATAATTCTCAAAATAAATTCATGTTTCTTAGTAATCACTATCTTGACTTTCCAGGCTAGAAGGGTGGAGGCTCATGAGGAGTAGAATTTACCGACGAAGATATAGATAAAGAGAAATGGGGAAGGGGTGTCACACCTCCCTACTTCCTCCTCGCTAGCTACGCCCCTACTACGGAGAACAAAGATGTGTATCTTATCCATTTTTATTCAACATCTTCATTAACCAACATCTTGAATAATCAAATCTGCATTCCCATCCCACCAGAAAAGCAGTAAAAAAATATTAGTCGGTTCTGTTACAATCATAATTAATTTTTAAATACTGCATAAGCTAAAAACGACAGAAAAGCAAACTGTATGCAATCGTTATGCTCTTATGCTGCTAAATTGTAATTTGAAACCGGGCACGTGAGAGCCATGGAAATCTCCCTGGGATTAAGATCTATCTCACTTATAATACAACAAATAGTTTATTCGACAGATAATTTCATTGAAACCATAAGCAAAATTTCTTAAGTGCAAAGCATGCAGTAGAGTGAAGAAACAAAGTAAAACTATACATACTAAAACATCAGATTTACGCAATAATACCTCTCTTTCACAAGTACCCAGCCAAAAAGGGCTACAATTATTTTTTTCAAAAATTAGCACGTTGAAATTAGTGACTGACTTAACATCAAATTAGGTTGTTGTCGAAAATGCCCTTAACTCTAATAATGTGATCATTATTTGCCTTGTAAATCTATGTCATTAAGAAAATCATATTGTGTACAGTCAGTAGCTTTCTATTCAAAAAATTGATTCATGGCAAGGTACTTTCAAAATTTCCGAAAAAGAAAACCTGAAAATTTGCAGGGGACGTCACATATCAAAAGTGAAGGTAAAATCATTTAAAAGGGTTTCAAAGGATTTGGTTCCTTCTAAACTTCGTTACTGGGCATGCGCTTTCAATGTATAGTAAGATAGATCCTCGATCAAAAGAGCTCCTTTTACCTTTATTTGCCAATTTTTGAGATCAAAGTGTACTATCAAAAAATTTTAAAATGATAGGAACTCTTTTTACAGGAATAATTTTTTAGAATCTCGACCTCTCCTGACAAAATCTTTCCTTCTCGTCAAGAAATTTCCTGTTTGTCGCTAATGTTTAATCTTACTGTAAGTTTCGTATGCTTTTATAGTGCAAACAACATTAAATAATATTCAACAATGACAAGTAAGTTGGAATTTTCAGCTGCGTCAAGTTGAAACGATGTTATACACCCTAGAGGTGTTTACGCAGAGTTTACGGTGTCTGAATCGGGAAGTTGCCTCGTTATGATACAGTCTCACTTCAGTTCAACATTCCAAACAGTCAAATATTTCTCGAAGGTTGTTTAAGGATGCCTGGAAAGAAGTGAAAGGTTTTGATGACCATTTTGGGTGAGCAATTCTTCTAGAATCCAAATAGGAATAGCTTTTTAATCGGATGTAGAAGGTGTTTTTTTGTGTCCGAAAATCACTTTGGCCATAAAGATTTTAAGTTTGTTTCTGGCGTAGAAAGTTAGCAAATAATTATTTACAGGACACATCCAGTTTCTTTGCTGTTATTTCAATGAATAGCGTTTATCTCTGAAGGCTATTTTCTCAACAATGTTTACACGTCTGCTGGAGTTGTTTGGACTTTTCATTTGCTAGGAGACAAAACTTTAGGCTAATGTTCACTCCATCATTGGCAATTACTGCTTTTTCGCTTTTTGTACATTCCTACTGTGAGTACTCTTTTTAAACAAGCAATTATGTACCAGTGTGTATTTAAATTATTCAAGAATTGTCGGAATTGCTCTTCGTTTTATTAGGTTTTCCCATCTCCTGCATTGTCATTTTAATTCTTGTCAATGTTATACTTATGGGCAAAGGAATTGAGGCTACTAACTTTGTCAGTACTTTGAAAGATTGCAGTGAACTGCCAAAAGAAGGTTTTCATTATTCTCAGCTACTAATTTCAGCTGTCCAATGCCATTGATCATTTTCATGGTTTTTTCTCTGCTACTTTTCCATTTTCAACTGATTGTTATGTGTAATAGCATGCTGATCCCATTGCTTGATCTAAACTTAATGGCGTTTATGTTAGATCTCTTAAGCCTTGCTCTAAGCAGGGTGCTTTCCTTATATATCCTCTTTGATTAGTCCTGAGCATCATCATAAGTCAGATCCATAACCATAGTATGCTTTTTTCTACCTCTTTGTATGTTCATTTTTAATGACTATACTTCTGCTCCACAAAGTAATATCCTCCATTCTAACACCCTCTCTGTCCCCTTCGGAAGGCCTGAAATTACAGAGATAAAATTCAGGAACAAAGCAAAACGGCGCCGAGAATCTAATGTAATTCAAAATAAATTCAATAAAACAAATATATATATACATACTAATATTTTGCCTGATTAATTTCACCTGAAATTACACCTGAAATTACAGGTTTAGCTCTAAGCAAAATCAAGGTGCTTCATAAAACGAGATCCTAAGAATGTTGAGACGCTCTATTTCACACATCTGAATACAATTGCCTTGAGAGCATCTTTGGGAGGAGTGCAAATAGTTGCTACCTAGCAAAAGTAGAAATCGGCTCTTTTTGGTATTGATTTGGAGATAGAGCTCCCATAGCACCACAAACTAGGGCTCTTGGTATGATATTGTGTGGTATTGATTTCTATACAGTATCATGTGAACAGGTCTCAGGTAATATCTCCACACACATATTTTCAAACGTTCGCATTTCTTCATAATGAAAGGAAATCAAGTGTTTGGTGTCCAAACTGAAACAATGCATTTTCAAATATTATTTCGTTTTTTAATACTTGATGTAGGATCGAGTATAAAATTTCATCAAAATACCAGTGGTATAAACTCTTGCACAAATCTTATAGATCATAATATTGCATTCATTTGAAAAGATGGTTCAAGTCTGATCAACATTATTTAATAACAAAATTTTACATTTTCGTTTTACATTTTCAGATGCTCATTAAATTACTCTCCATGGCTTCTCTAAGGTGCACTTTAGGCGTCTGTGCCCTTCCAGGCAAGGCCTGATATTATCCCCTGTTTATTAAAGCAATTCTTCTGTTATGATCATTCACCAGCAATTGTTGCTCAGAAGGTTTTCTCAAGTTCTGTCATATGCTCAACCTTATAACATTTACCAGAGAATCTTCATATGTCCCACCCATCTATCAACTATTAACACCTTGGTGTCCTTCCTTTTGGTCTCAATCCTACATACTTGCACTGTTTCAATGCCATAGTTAACAACACTCTGGATGTCAGTCTCTCAAACTGCTAGCATTGCTTGATTGTTAGAAAATTCCAAACCTGGTTGCCAAACTTCCACTGTAAAACCCCTGTAAAACCCTCTGTAAAATCCACTGTAAAACCCTCTTTGAATTATCTTTCCCTTTTTTATGAGTTTTGTAAAGATTTAGTTAAGAAATAATATTAGGCATCTCTGGTGCACTCCCCTTCCAACTGGACTATGTTCAGTTTCTCTTCATAATGCTACTCTTACTCTTTAGAGTAAGAGCCTTCCAATTCCTGATGACAAGCCTTGCTGTAACCAGAATGAAGATGCTCCATTGAACAAACCCCTATTTATAAGTAACTTAGCTCTTTATTTTTAAAAACTTCAATGTTTAGGTCTCAAGGCCTAAAAAATTTTGATGGTTGATCCTTTTTTAAATTTTTTGGCTTACAAACAAGGCTTCAAAACATTAATAATATCTTGCAAAAGTTTCATGAAGATAGCTGCTGTATTTGTTTAAAGTGCCACTGAATTGAAAAAAATAAATTTTTTTTATTGTTGATTCTGGTAGACTAATCATCGCTGATTTCGAAAAAAAGTTTGGTTTTTTAATTTGGAGCCCACAAATAGGGGTTTCTGGGGTTCTTTTGCGAGTGGGTCGTGCGAAAAAAGGCTGGGGCGAGTGACGCATTCAGATTTATATAGTCAATTCAGCCATAGTGAGGTCTGTAAGAAGATAAAAAGTTACACATTGCGTAAAACATGATACAAGCATGAAACCTGATAGAGATAGGCAGTTTGATACGCTGAAAAAGATGGGGTGTGAATAGACGCTGACAAATATCCCCTTGTGCTATTTATAGAGTGGGGTACTAGGTTCCAAACCTCTAAGCAGTAATTGACATAATTTAGCCATTAGATCGCGAAACCAGCATGGAACGTGGTAGTAATAGGCAGTTTGATACGCTGAAAAAGATAGGATATGAATTGACCCTGAAAAATCCCCCTTGTGCTATTTATAGAGTGGGGTACTAGGTTCCAAACCTCTAAGCAGTAATTGACATAATTTAGCCATTAGATCGCGATACCAGCATGGAATTTGGTAGTAAAAGACAGTTTGATACACCGAAAAAGATAGGATATGAATTGACCCTGAAAAATCCCCCTTGTGCTATTTATAGACTGGGATACCAGGTCCTAGACCTCTAAGCAGTAATTGACATAATTTAGTCATTAGATCGCGATACCAGCTTGGAACTTGGTAGTAAAAGGCAGTTTGATACGCCAAAAAAGATAGGAAGCGAATAGACGCTGAAAAATACCACTTATGCTATTTATAGACTGGGGTACCAGGTCCCAGACCTCTAAGGAGTGATTGTCATAATTTAACTTTTAGATCGCGACATCAGTATGGAACTTTGTAGAGATGAGCAGTTTGATACGCTGAAAAGGATAGGATGCGAATAGACGCCGAAAAATTTCCCTTGTGCTATTTCTAGACTGGGATACTAGATTCCAAACCTCTTAGCAGTAATTGTCACAATTTAACCATTAGATTGTGATACCAGCATGAAACTTGATAGAGATAGGCAGTTTGATACGCCAAAAAGATGGGGTATGAATAGAAGCTTAAAAATATCCCACCGTGCTACTTATGGACTTTTAATCAATTCCATTTAAAATGAACTTCTTTACTTTTTGAGGTCCCCTGACCACGAGGTTCTGGGGCAACTTATCCCATCTTGACGGCCCTGGTAATAACTGATGCTTTGACAGTGGCAACGCAAGTTGGAAAGTGGGAAAAGCGCCGAGAAATGTACAACTTGTGTGGTTCTATAATAGATCAACTTTTTCCCTTGATCAGTTTGCTCACTTTTATTCATAATTTGTAAAGCTGTTTGTAAGAGCATCCTTATTCGACACGCTCAATAATTCACAAAAGGTAAATGATCGGCATGAAGTCTTGGTAAAAACTGCACGCAAAAAGTTTGCTTATTTTGTATGGGCTCGAAATTTTTGCAAGAAAATACCTTGCACATGTCTTGTAGTTAGATAGCTAGTGATATTTAAAGCACAAGTATCGCACTATTTCCATCCACTTCACGTTTATTTTGGTTTTTTATCGCACTCGAAATACAGTCTTCAGTACTGAAGCCCGCATCACTTCCGCCACTTATAAACGTTAATGCGTCACACATTCCTGAAATCCCTCACAGGCCGCGCACAAATTTTCGCACAAAAAGTCTTGAAAATCGCAACTTTGAAGCGTTGTAGCTTCAAAACACTTCACAATTCCGAAAAGGGAACTTCAGCATCGGATTCAGGAGCACCGACTTGACTTAGAACATCAATAAAAAAATTTTTGATTTTTTCAGTTCAGTGGCACTTTAATGACAACATATTTTTATAGCATCTTTTCAAATTTATTGCATATAATGTCTTCGAAATTTTGAAGCTGTCCCAATACTTTTGGAACGTAAGTGTAAGTGTTATAGTATTATAAGTTATTGGCAGTTTAAGAACTTTTTCAGTACCATTAATAATACTGCTTTCGTCAACATGCATGGCTTTATATGCCACAAAGGAAACCATTATAACAAACAAAAGTAGCCTCCTTTTTGATTGATATCCATGAAATAACGTGATTTGCCTAATAACTGTTTTCGTTTCAAACCCCAAGCGTTAGTGTCTCTGTACAAATAGAAGACCATTGTAGTATGAGATCTGGGGTTTAGTGTTTTTTAGAACAAGGAGTGATCTCAGACAAAATTTTGCAAAATGCAAGCAAAAGCAAAAATTGGCTCTTTTTTCGTTTCCTCTCTTTCTTTTAAAATTTAATTTTAGTTTACTTTAAAATCTATGTCAGATTACAAGTGAAACTTATGTCAAAGCTCCTACCGAATCAAGTAAATATATTGAAGCAAATAAAACTTGACTTAATTTTTTAAGTAAAAAGTAAAATGAGCAAGGGGGTATTCCCAGAACCAAGAAAGTTTGAGTGTTTTTTAACTAACTGTTTCTTTTGAAAGTGGTTGAAGAGTCAGATTTTTTCCATCACAGAGAATAACATTTTGTAAATGTAGCATAGCTCCCAACTTTTTAGAAGTCACTGGGGGGTCAGGTATATATATATATATATATTTATCTATATACCTTTGTGCATATGGCAAGTCAGCTTTCGAGCTAACATTCTACTATCGTAGGCTTATATAACTGTATCGCTATAATTTATGATTTTAAGTGCCATGCGGATCAGCGGGTTTAAAGGAGTTTATGTGGGCTGACCCGGGGATAGTGTGTAACTTGGGAGCTATGTGTAGTCCTGAAGCTTTATATCAGCTTCTTAACATGGGTTTAACCTCAAGTTTTCTATACAATGTCATTATCTCATGTGTATCTGTTTTAAAACTTTTATTGCTGTTTATCTTATTAAACCTTTGAACATTCGATTCATTTTTAGGTATTGCTATTTCATACCTAGAACTGCTCTATCATCTTTTGTTGTACCAAACTAGCTTGATTTGTGTATTACACTTAAACAGTAACTTGAATTGTTTTTTTTATTTTTATGTGTGAAATTTTGTACTGTAAGGTTTTCTTTTATTCAATTTTGTTTTTAGATTATCTTCTATGCTATAACAATTTCTTTGCAATAAAGTATTTTGATCCTTTTTATAAATGCATTCTTTCAAGTTTTGTCCATTCTTTTCTAGGATAGAAAAACAGATGATGGCTTCAATTAAAGGAATGCAGCTGCTCAAATTACCTGAATTGGTAAAGGAAAATGCTCCACCTAATGCCAGTTCAAATTCTGCAATCCTAAAAGCACCATCTGCTAAACCCTTTCAATTGTTATCAGCCCAGATAAAACCTCCTAATGACATGAGCCCAAAACTTATAATTATCCCAGGGGTTTCTAAGACTACACCTCATAGCATTCCCCTGCTAAAAATGCCCCAGAATACAATTTCTACTTCTAGTCAACATCCCAATAGGGAACATTGTTTCCATGCAAGATTGTACCATTTTCCGTTGTTAAAGAAGCCAGCAGTCAAGGAACAGATTTCACTGGTTGAAATTCCAGTCAGAGATGACAGGGCTCTTGAAATCCCTCAGTTGATTCAGATTCCCGTGAAGCAAGTTAATGATATCATCTCAACTGGTTCAAAGCATTTGAAAGAACACCATACCAAGTTGAATCTCCCTTACAATGTCATCCAATCAAGAGTAAGGGAGCCAAGCAACATTGAAATTGATGCATCTCAAAATATGGGAAGAATGCCTGGAAGCAAGCCATTGAAACGGTATGGTTAAAATTAAAATGTATGATTCTTGAAGCAAAGCTAAATAAAAATGATAATAATAATAAGAGCTTGCCAAATCTCTGTTACGGAGCAGTTACTGTAACTCAAAGACAGAACTGCTAGGAAATACAACATGTACAGTATAGTACCACAGGCTAATTTTCACTTAAGTTTGAAAAAGTTCAACCAATTTCTCGATTTCTATCAGGCCTAGTTTGTGTTGCTTTTTAGAATTTGTTCCATTTCTGGAACGTGTCTTTTGAATTTTTTGCATTGCCATAAGTGTTCCATGTTTTGTTCATGTAACCCACACCTTCTTCAACTAATATTATCATATTCTTCTTTGTGATTATCTGTTAAATCGGTCATGTTTAGTTTCAATTTTAGTAACGTTGGTCCTGTTTTATGTTTTAGGTATTCTTTATTTCAAAATTGCCTTTTTTAATGAGCCTCATCTTTGTTTTATCGCTATTCTTTACTTGCTGCTCTATCCTCTTTATGATCATTTTGCTTTTTACTTTTTTTTTCCAATCTTTTCTTGATAGATCTGAAATTTGTTTTTCTGAGTATTGTATATTTAGTTCAATCAAGTCATTCGTTATTTCATCATACCAACAATTTCTTAGGTTCAGGTGCTTTTGTTCTTGGTATACCTGTTTTGTTAAACCTGTTTCTTTCATGTTTATTAGTTTATGTAGGTACATAGTTTTATAAGTCTTCGTAGTTTTATTTGATAAGCCATTTGCATAAGTCCACATTCATATAGGGTGTTGATTTTGGTATTGAAGTAGTCAGAGCTGTCGCATCTTTTTGTATATTTTTCAGGATTTTTAAGATTTTTTGTTCATATAAGTCCATGTTTCACACCCATATAAGATTTTAGAGATAAGTACACTTTCAATCAATGTTATGCTTATTTCCATGCTTTGTTTTTTGAATGCTGGTTGGCTGATTAAGAATTTTATTTCATTAATGATTGCCTTTGCTTAATTTTTCCTGCTATTAATGCATTCCTCTACTGTTCCTCTGTTATTTTCTATATCTCTTAGGTATTTATATTTGCTCACCTCTTTTAGGGCTGCCTCATTAAGCGTTGGTTTCTTACCTTGGTCTTTACTCTGTTTGTTTTTAAAATTCATTTTCATTCTTTCACTCTTATCAAGGTTAAAGTTTGCTAGACTTTGTTATCGAAATTCTTCTGCTATGTTCAACATTTGTTGCATTTTCTCTATTGGAATAGTGCAAACATAATATCAGCTTGATACAATAGAGGTGGGATAACCATCCTTCCATATCGTATTCCTAGTCTCTTTTTAATTATAGGTTCCATTACTTTATCAATGTGATTTGCACATATCAGGGCTACTAATATGGTGCTTTGTTTACGATTCTCACCTATTTCAATGTCCTGAGAAATGCCACATGGTGTATTTATTTGTACACAGTCTTCTTTGTTCAATTCATAGATACTCTTTAGGTATTTTTTTTCTACTCCACTTTTTTATAAATCTAGTAAACATGATTTCAAACATAATTTGTCAAAAGCTTTTTCTAGATCAAGGAACACTAAATTGATACCACATTTAATGTATTTGTAGTAATCAGTCACTGCTTGCCACACAAATAGGTGATCTTGGGTGGATCTTCCCTTTCTCCCACCAGCAGCAGCCTCTGAAAGCCATTTTCTGTATTTTTCCTTAGCCTTTTTAGTATTAACTTTTCAAAGATTTTGCTGATATTGATAGTTAGAAATATTCCTTGCCAGTTTATTTTTCTCCTTTTACCTTTTCTCTTGTATATTTTAACTATTGATTTTTTCCATGTTTTTGGTGTAACCCCCTTTTCAAATGCATAATCCCACAATTCATATAAAATTCATTATACATATTATCTAACCCTGGGCTTTTCTTTGTTTTTAAAACATTTTGGAGTTCCCATTTCATGAATGGTGCATTCTCTGGGGACCTACTATCACCTTGTCTTCTTACAATGTTTTTGAACAGGATTGTTTTTAGCCTTACATGTTTCTTGTATTTATTTTCTGGTTTCCTGCTTGATAATAGTTTCTTGAAATAGCATTCATGCTCTTTAAGGATTTCAATAGTGTCTGTAAGTTCTTTTCCATGTTCATTTATGATTAATGTTAGGTACTCAGTTTTCTTACCAAGTATTTCTTACCAAGTCATTTTATCCATTTTTGTTCTAAGCTTTTTCAATTTTCCTATGTTAGTTTTTTCAATGATTTTTTTGTTAATTGTCTTGATTCTTATTTTTGTGATATTCCTATTAATTACATTCCCATCATGTATTTCTGTTGTTAGTTTCTTCTTTAATTTTCTTTTCTTCCTTTTCAAATCTCTGTGCTCTTTATCAATATAGCTATTATTATTTTTTGTAGCATTAATCCTTATTTTCAAACATTTTTCCATTACAATTTTTAGCTTTTTTCCCATTTGAAATAGATTTGATTTATATTTTCTTGCTCATCCACATTAAATGTCACATTCTGTGTTTGTTTTGTGAAGTTCTGAAGCGATTCATCAGTGATTACCCATTTATACTTCATAATTTCTTTTGGAATAATGGTATCTGGGTTTTGACTTTTTAGGCTAAGGTCTAGAATAATAGCATTATGATCAGATTCCTTGATACTTCTCTTCGTAATCCTCTCTAAAACATAGTTTCTTTCCTCGTCTATCAGCATGTTTTTTATTTTTGGTAAGCATTTTTTATTTACAATTACATAATCCAGAATTGATTGTCTGTCTTGGTTTTCTGTGTCTGTTGTTATAATATGTGTCCATACACCTTGGCATTTATAATTTCTTTTGAGTAACTAAAGTTTTCTCTTATTTATTATTTTAATGAGTTTTTTTCCGGCTGGGAGTTTTGTGTTGTGATTTCCTTTAATATAATCTCACACTTTCAGTCCTGGTAATTTTAGGCGTGCGATGGCACGCGCACGCGCACGTCTCCACACACGCCTAAAACTCCCGAGGCGTGCTTTCTATCGCACGCGCAAATCCACGTTTTGAATTACTTTTCTTTTTCTATTTGTTTCTTTTAATTTCTTGTTTATCTTTTTAAGTAATTTTCAATTTCATTTGTGTGGGTTATATTGATGGCATCCCCGGAGGCATTTTAACTCTTTACTTCGTTTAAATTAGGCCCGGTTTCCATTTATCCGTCTTTGTATGTCTCCGTTCTCTCTCCGTTCCTTTCGTATTTTCTTGAACATATACCTCGGGCCACTCTGTTTTGGTCAAAACGATAACATGGGTGTTTCTATTACTCCATTATTATCAGTTCTCATATCCTTTGCTCGAGCTCTTTTCTTTTTGAAACTGAGATTGAATGACTTCGTTTTTGAATGCCTCTGTCTTCGCTGTTCCAAATAAAACGACCCGTATTCAAATGATTCCGTCTCGGATAACTCCACTTTGAACAAAGTTTTTGAATAACGGTTTGGTTTGGTATCAAATGACACCGTTTTTGAGCGTATTAACGAAGCTCAAAATCTCAAACAGATTCACGCAAATCCGTTCTCATACGGAAACGGAGAAATGGCAACAGAGCCTAAAAGACTTTTATTCATTTTGTTAAATCATTTTGTTTTCAAGAAACTTCTTTTAAAATTCCATAAATTTTTTTTGGTTTTATGAAAACCTCATACGCTTTATCAAACAGTGATACACACATTCTAATACAAAGATGACATCAGGTCTTCATAAAAATCGTAAGGTTTCCATATGGATCGCACGTCATCACACGCCATCGCACGCCTAAACTTTTCAAGGCGTGCGCTTACCAGCACGCCGCCAAATTTCATATTACCAGGACTGCACTTTCATATTATAGTCACCTTATACTATGATTGATTTTTGTTTATTCTTTGCTTTAATTGAATAATGATCAATTTTATCTATTTAAGTTCTGTGTACTTGTTTCTTGCTTACCATACACAACCCCAAAGATGGTCTCCTCACTTCCCAATTTGATATTCAACCAAACTTGTTCATTTTCATCATCTCCTATTTCTAACACATTTTTTTCTTCAAGACTCTTTGTAAGTTATCCATATTCCTCCTCCATCTTTTTTTGTTCTACGTTGCTCTATTGGATCACAATATCCTTTTAAAAGAATTGTATTATCACATGAATTAATTTTAGATTCATCAATGCATAATATTGTTTGTATAATGTAGCTTGGCATTCACCAAAGCATGGGCATTTATTAAATAGCTTCAGAGTTCATGGCAGAATGTTGCCAGGCCTTATTGCAATTTAACAATTCAGCTGCAACATTTCCCTATTTAACTTTAGAACTAATTTATGCTAAATTGTTTACTGTAAGGCAGATTTGAATTGTGTTCTTATGAATAGAAAAAATGTGTTCCTATTCTGAAAATCTCTTATTGGAATTCGTGATTAAATTAAGGGACACAGCGTTGCAACAATGATATTATATTTTGCAGAAAACGGCGTAGAAAAAGGCCTGTTGTTTCTGTGAAAAATAACGTTTCGCTGTCTTCTTCCAAGCAACTCGAAAATTTTGCTAGTAGGAAAGAGTCTTGTGTCTCTCAGAGTACACAAACAACTACGGATGAGCCTAAGAGAACAAAAAACCGACGGAAGAAGATGAATTTGATGGCTTTGTTAGAAGAAGCGGCATTGTTTGACGCAAGTAGTGCCTCTTCTGGGGAGGAAGATTTGGCCCTGAAAATGCTCAAGAACAAGTCTTTTTTGGTTAAAGGTGATCCTTACAAAGAATCTAGAGATGGGCAGTCTCTGTGTCGTGGGATACCTCAAACAAGCTTAGAGGAACTTTTGCTTCGAAATTTTGACGAAGGACCCGGTAATGTACAAGTAACTCCACCACGATATCCTTTGAAAGATAAAAGAGACTCGATAATGTTGGAAAAAAGACGTAAAACCGAGTCAAGTACCCAAACAATCAGTGATGTTAATATTCCAAAATGTTTAGTAATTGATAAGCCAAAGACCTCTGCTGGACTTTCATGGAAAGAAATGATCCTCTTGTCGCAAGGAACGTCTACCAATGATCCTTCTCAAAGCAGTGCTGCTTCCTTAAAAGAAATTGGAGTCCAAGTCTCCGAATCTGTGCCTGCCATTGACAAAATTGAGCAAACATCACAAACGGATTTTACGAGTGACAATGATGTTGTAAGCACGCTGTTAGAAAATTTAAAAAATCAAGGAGCTTTTAAAGAAGAGCATTTGACTGACGGTAAAAAGAATGGACGTGAATTAGATTTAGCTCAACAGCAAAGATACCCTTGGCAGTACATAGCAGATACAGACTTTTCTGATGTGGCCATGGCACAGGAAAAGTTAATGAAATCTGTTAAATCACAGAGGCCGGATTTAGTTGAAAGAAAATGGCAAGAGGAATCTATGTCACGTGATTTGGATCACCATAAGACTGCTTCACCAACGAATTCAAAAAACGCAATATATGACAGCTCCATAATAGTGCAGGTTTGTGTTTCTAATCTTTTTTAATTCTTTTACAAATAACAACTAAAGTCAAAATCTGCTCTCTAACTTTTCTATTCTTGTATGGATTATCTAATCTGACATGTCTTGATGGCGATAAATGTGAGCGAAAGAAGGAAGATGCTTGTAGACGATTTTAAGATCATTTCAGATCAAAGTCTCTCAGTCAACAACAGTTCTAAAAGCCGTTCTAAAACTAGGTACATTTGTAAAGTAGATGGCTAAAGCTGTTTTTAAGGAAATTCAAAAGCATGCCCATTATTCAAAACAACACAATATAGTAGATTTGATTGCCATAATTTTTTAGCTGATTCTAGAAATATAATTCCTTCTCAAACCTTTTTATATATTTATAGTTTTTGTTAATTCGCTTTCACATACTGTCTTTTTACTGGTAACATCTACTTTAAGGTGATAAATGTTGTCCTTATTGATGAAGCAAAAATGTCTTTGAAATAACATTGTATTTTATCCCCTTAACTGATCGATTTGTATCATGGCGATTCCAAGTAAACCACCATTTCGCCAGTATATGCCAACGGAACGTGAGATAATAAAGACAAAGGTTTTATAGTTCTCGGCAATTTCACTTTGGTGTTCGTCCTAGTATAATGACCACATGTTCAAGCAACATGCTCTTTTTTAGAAGTATTGTTTTTAAGTTATGTAAAGCATCTGGTAATGAATGTGAATGAATGTGAATATAATTTTTTGTGATATTTTGGCAGTCACGCCCCGTGCACGCACCACCAGAGATCTTTCTTGGAATGAAAGTCAAAGATGAGTGTATTGAGTTGAGTAGCATCGACGGCGCAGAGGCTAGTCGCCCAATTAACATTGTTGAAATTTCAAGAAGGTCATCCCCAATAATGATTGTCAATGAAGTTGTTGAGAATGTTATGATCAGAGACATTCCACTCGAGATGCTTCAGGAAAGTTTTGATGTTGGTAAAGAGATTGATATTAACAAAGCATACGTGCAAAAAGAAACTGTAGAAACTCGATCAGATGGCCATCAGATACCCGAGAGTCTTGTCGTGAAAGACACGATCTCAGAAGAAAAGGAACATGTGGTTTTGAAGTCAAAATTCATCAATGACAAAGCATTTTTAGCATTTAAAGATAGAACGTAAGTTTTTCTTTTTAATCTTTACTATTAACAAACATCTGGTAAATGTTTTCATATAATTCCATGTTAATGCTATACCTACAGAAAGGTTGTAGCAACGTAGACTTCCTGCTCTTTCACCCATCAAAATGTCAATCGCGTTGCAGGTTCACCCTGTTGATTCCTTTAGGAAACCAGAATACTGTTTTTGCATTAAAAGCTACATAAATTGTGAAATCAAGTGATTTTTTTATAATTTTTTAATGTAACTGAATGTAAAATCACAAAATGATAAAAATTTTCCCGCATCGATAGTGCGAATAAGTACAGAATCTTCGATGCAACAAAAATTGTCTCTTTAAATCTTGCTATTGATCTTGAAAATGTACCCGAACCCAGGAAAAATAAGATCAATTCATTTTGAAAATTTTATTTCGTGACATTGGATTCTCGTCGTCGTATTGCTTTGTTCCTGTATATCTTTCATTTTAAAATCTCATTGCAGGATTCACAGAATCCGGCGGACAGCCTATCCTGCGTTTCTTCCTTCTCACACATTAATAAATAATGCAGCTTTAATATAAATCCTTGTGTTTCTTTTCTCTAACACCAGTTCAGAAGTAGCAGCCCAAGCAAGCAAGCTAAACAGTATCCTAGCCGTTGGACCAAAGGACAGAATGCACAGCAATCTTAAAAATATGTCTGTGCAGCTGGATGCCTTGGATGAGCTGTACGAGCACTTGCAGAAAGAGCTGAAGGATTCTGCAATGGTTTGTAAAAAGTTTATTGCTTATTAGTTAGATGCATTGGTTTACTAGCAAGGCCAGTTCAAGAGATAGGATTTTTATGCTATCAAAATACCTGAAACAGCAAAACACAAGGACTAGATGTGCTGCTGTCCTTTTTGGGAAAGGATTGTTTTTCTGTTGGTCTGGGTGGGTATGTGAATTTCTACTTACCTGAACCGATCTTTGTTGGGATTGGTTGACAATCGCTTGGTGTTAAATGTAATTTTTATCTTGCGTGATTTCCAGCCTTGAACTAACTCCATGTTTTTTTCTGATAGCTGATGCAGACGGTAGATACACTACATCATGGGTTTCTAGAAGAGCCGAGCCTTGCGAAAAGTCTCAGCGCTTGAAGAAGAAAACATTCCATCAGGAATACGTAATATTGTGGAAAACCTACCCGCAGATGCTGTGCAGTCAAGAAAGAGAAAATTGCGAGCTTACGTGTTGAAGCAGGCTGACAGAAGACGCCCCATTTGCTGGGCTCGATACAAAAGAATCGATTGCCAGTAGTTATGAAAGATGGGGAGATGCAGATGGAAAATGAAGATGGATAAATTCTTCTATGTAGCCCTTACCTTTATGTAAATTATACTTTCTATAACGATGTATTCCACAATGGATTCCCTTCTTAGCACTCTTTTATCGTTGTATGTAGTATTTCCTTATTAGCATTCCTTTCAGATTTGCAAATTTGGATGAGGATGTACGCGAAAATTCAACAGTCATAACACTGTATCTTCCAAATTTGTTAGAAAAACTTCATTCAATATTCAAAAACTTCATTGAGAGTAGAAATTGGTTCATCTTGATAGTCTTTTTAAATGTTCTAATTTATGAAATCTTCGTCAAAGTTAGAAATAAATATTCCGATTAACATTTCAAACAGTCTCGAAATCTCATCGTTATATAAAACACTAAAAATAGTTTTGATTGATTTTGACACCCTGGCATGTTATATAGTGACTTAGTTTACCTTACATTTATCAATAATATGTTTGGATCTTTAAACACGAAGATTAAAGTTGTCTGGTTTATTGCAAAGAGCTCGAAGTCATCTAGACCGAGCTATTCATGTTTGTTGTGTCGGAACAAAGGTATAATTATATTTTTATGCATATCTTGCAACAAAACAAAAACCTGCAAGATAACTTTAATTTCTATATTCTCTGACGCTTGTAGATTATGACTATCAATCAAAAGAATTCTCAAGCGGATTCCTGTAACGAATCGGCACAGCTGGCGGTATCTACCAATCAAAGCCAAGATTCCCTTGGGATTCAAACCATGTTTCTCTTGGAATAACATTGACAATAAAGAAGAAGGTATTGAGGAAGACGGTGCAAGACAACGAATTATCGACAAGCATCCAACTATGTCTGGGAAAAGAAGAGAAGAAGATGCGAAGACAAAGGAAATGTACGTCTGTCAATGCACCCTTTATTCTATTATCATTATAACAGAACTTTGCTATAAATAAAGCATTGATGTTGTATATCGCTAAATTTAGGTAATGTTTTGTTTATATTGAATGTGTTAGAGTATGGACTTTCGTTTCCAAGCACACCTATAGATCTTATGCACCTCTTGCTAATTCCGACAAATAAAACCTATAAAGTGACCTGCTTTTCAGGGAATTGAAATTAAGGATAGAGAAGAAGAGACAGTCTTTGCATGACTGGATGAAGAAGAAGCGAATCGAGCGAACGAGAAGTATCTAATGGAAGTTGAAGAGAAGAGACAGAAAGAAAGTAGGCATTTGTAAGTAAAGCGAAGGTACGTCAATTGATTGTCAACTTATACACATTGAATGGGAAAACAAGTATAAATTTATTGTATTGTATCTAGGTATGCTTAAAATGTAATTTATGTTTTTCAAAAACAAATTTCATATTTTATGCAACTTTTGAAAACAAAGGATGTGGGTTGTTTCCTGAAGGTGATATATAAATTTGAATAAATTCTTGGTTCATATTCTGTTTGGTTCTTGCAATTGGCATATTATTTCTGCACACTGATCACTTCTGATGGAAATGCATTTGAAATATCTGGCAACGAAGTATATCTGGCAGTAGTTAGCAACGAAGCAATTGAATGAAATGAAATGTGGATTAACATTGACCTGGCGGGAAAACAAATTGAGAGATTTGATTGAGACGCTCCAATAATTTATACAGATTGTAGGTAACACGAACCTTAAAACATGGGGGGTGGGAGTGAGTGGGTGTAGGAGGGCCATGGAAAATGAAAGCTACTGATAAAGACAAAGATTAAGAAGACCTTGTTCCTATTACTCCATCGTCAGTGGATTTTACCAAGCAACTAACTTTTTTACAACAATTGAAAACTTAACCAATTCATAGAACCTAGAGATATCACATCCTTTTTCTTTACCACTCTACCCAAGCTACGTAGATAATGTAAGTTTTTGATTTTCTACAGAATACCGACCCTGTACGTCCAGTGGACATAAAATTGGCGAAGGAAAAGAAGGCTATGAAAAGTAAGCAAAGTTTTATCTTTTACTATTTTTGAAGTGGGCCTGAGATCTCTTATGCGAGCGCGATTTCAAGAAGCATGTGGTGAATTGAAGCTGACAAAAAATACTCATGCTGTGTGTAATATTTAATGTAAGTTACAATAGGAGATTAAATTAGAATTTTGATTTTTGCGTGTCAGTTCTCCTTTAAGGCTCAGTGTATTTAGCGCCGGCAGCAACTCAACTTCGATTTCGGAAAATGCAATGATTTTGAATTTTTTATAGGGAAGTGAAAGAGGTAATATATCAGGAGCGAATTGACGGTGCACAGCAACTATTAGACGAGATTCTGGCTGTCAGGTCTAATGCTTTGAACATAGAAAAAGCATCGGTACCTCATGAGGTGACAGTAAAGAGACAAAAATCGGACTGCCAGGTACCCAGGGATGCTCCCCCGAGAACTACCAAGCACAAACTTTCACAGTCTTACGAGGAGCTACGTCCAGGCCAAAAAGGTCTACCATGATACAAAAAGCACTTCCTGGTCAACCTGCTGAAAGGAAAGGAAGCTTAGGTGAAGGAACTGCGATTCTTGACAGATATCGCCATCTTGGAAATATTCCGATATAGCTGAAGATGAGCAGCTTTTTGAAGAGATTGGGTATTGATCTTGGAGCGCTAGCCACATCAAATGAAAATGAATCGTTTTTAGATCCAAATGGATTCGAACTCAATCCATACTCATCAACGGCTAGGTCGGATTCAAAGGGCTACAAATTAGACTTTGGCTCTCTGACAGATCGTCCTGCGTCAGCATCTGATACATCTAGGTCGAAAGGGCGTTCGTTCTGTTGAGGAAAGGATTTGTTACGCAAAAGAGTATGGAAATGTATCGAAGAAAAACAGCAAAACTTGTTCGCGAGTCGTTGAAAAATATGGCAATTATGACGATAACGATAACATGACTATGATCAATGGATTCTGATTTGCATGAGAGTGAAAAGTTAGTGCTGAGAAGGAATCTTAAATGACAATGGAAACCTTGAAGGAAGTTGATTTTAGTATGAAAAAGCGACAACGAACTAAAAGTCCAGTTGGTGGTGATGAGGACGTGCAAGGGATTTTGAGGCAGTATGGCCTTCTGGACCATGAATTGAAGGGGGCGACTATGCTAGAAACCCAATTGATACTGGTAAGAGAAGAGTGTTTATTGATTCAGTTTTGTTGCAAGGGCGGACGGGTGCCAGGCTCGCTACTTCATGTCACAAAAACCCATGGTCCCACATAAATTGGCCCATTATTCTGGTTTATAAAATGGATCTCATGATCACCCGGCTAATAAAAAATTGAGTATTATGATTTTGGTACTGTTTAGTTTGTTCTTATAACCTGCGATCGCTGTATTTGCATGGATTTCCTGTTACGTGGCTGTTTCCACCAACCTGACTTTTTATATAAATTAATTCCATTTCATCTGGTGGCTGTATAATTTTCTTAATTTGGCTTGAAGCAACTTATTGGAGCCACCTTAGAGAGGCTCAACCTGACTTCTTTCTTGAATTCAACCATTAATTCAATAATCTAATAAACTGTTTTTCAGATTTAATTCAGATTTATATATTGTATCCACCAAGTTTTATTCAAGTGCTTCACAATTGCTGCTTCTTTTTACCTTCGACGGCTCCTCTCCAGCAAATTTAAAATG